ATGAAGCACTGAGACATGTTATTCTCCTTTCAGATAGTTGGAGATTGTTCTACTGTGTGGATTGTGACTGAAATTAATCGAGCAGCATCAGAGAAAGAGGCCTGGGAGATCCTGGAAAGTGTCAGTAGTCTGATTGGAAATGGTGGCGAATGTCAGCAAATTCATTTTATCTGCACCAAGTCCGATCTTCTTGATGATTCAGATGATTTGTAAGTACATTTTGAATGCTGATCAACTACACGTGTTTTCATGTAAGATCAACGCAGGCTAGAGAAAAAAATGAAGCACTTGGTTGAGCCTTCGTTGTAATTAATACAGAACATTTAGGTCAAAAGGAGTCTGAGAGGCAGATACAATTTTATAAAGTTTACTGAAGATGGTGGACTGAGTAATACACAGAGAGGGAGGGGAATAGAGGAGAGTGGGAAAGGCAGTGGTAGAGGGACAGCAAGAGAGAAGAGGGTGAGCAACAACAGCAGAGCAGGAGGAGAAAGAGATGCTGTGACAAAAAAAAAACATTTGTATGTAAGCATGTCAGCATGTGGTGACATCACAATCCAAATAAACATGCTGGCCTTTCTCCAAGTGCTTTAGAATAAATGCTACTAGTCTCCCATATTTGCGAGTTTGTTTGGCTTTTTTAACAGTCAAAATAAATACATTAAATAAAGTCATATCATTATAAACTGGATCCGCAAGGCAGACTTGCACAAGTAATATGACATTTAATAGGTTTATTTACAATGAAAGAAATATATACAATGAACCGGTGAATTAGTGGAGAGCAACACCCTAAGGTGGCAGAGAACCAGTGCCACAGCCAGTCTTTAAACACAATTTAGGCGATGACCATGAGTTACAGGTGTGCAACAGCCAGGGCAAGCTCAGCTTTGTCAGAAAGGAAGCCTCCCACATTTCCACCTGAAGGCCAAAGCTACATCCACACCTACATGGGTATTTTTGAAAACGCAGCTTTTTCAATGCATTTGGGCTTTTTGTCCGCACGTAAACTGTGTTTTGTATCACTAATAACTGAGATTTTTTTTTAAACTCGTGCCAGCGTGGAGATTTTTGAAAACTCCGTTTCTGTGTTTAACTGGAATACAGAGATTTCGTCACGTAATGTTTTGACATCATGCTGTACACCAAAATATTGTTTAGATGAAATGAATTTCTACAATGGTGGATTTACACAGTATACTGTTGCTGTTAATCTTACTATCTGCAGTTTTTAGACGCTTACATATACACCCGCAGTTACTGTCCCTCCATTTTGAAAGACAGGAGTCAGAAGAGGTGTCCAAATTCATGGGCTGCATCCTGCTGAGGCCGCATTTCTTGGACGATTACATCACAGCAACGCAATGAGGGCTGTCCAAATTTGTAGACTCCTCCGAATGCGGCCAACAAATGCGTCCTTCATTTCCCCAGATTTGAAGGATGGGTCGGGTGTATCCTTCGTGGCCCACCATATCCCAGAATTCATAGCG